AGGGCCAGTCAATCGAGCACAGAAGTGGCGTGTCATTTTGCCGTGGCACCTGGGGCGATCGATCGATCGAGCGAGCTGGATAAGCAGAGAGGGCCGCAACAACCTCGGGCAACTCACCTCAGAAAAGACCGAGCTGGGAAGAAAGATGTCGCTAGCAAAAGCCGATGGGGAGGTCAAATATTAAGGGGGGATGAAAAACAAAAAAAAAGAGGAATAATTAAAAGCAATGAAAGAATGATGAATAAAATGCCAGAGCGATTCAAGATCTTCGTATACGTCTTGATCGGTGCAGAAAGGGAAAAGAAAAAAAGCTCGGGTTCGCACTAGGTGGCGAGAATGAATCGACGACACGAAGGCAGCAACGGCGTTGTTTTTTCGTTAATTCAATCCACGTCGTTCTTTTTTTGCTGCCGGAAATCGTATACACCAGCTGTTGAATAGGAAATGTTCTGAGTTTGTCGTTTTTAACCCCTCGCGGCTGTTTGCGTTGTCAGATGGGGTTCAAATGGCAGGGCAGCCGCGGGTTCGGAGTCAGCTCCGTCTCTCTCAATAGGTACCGAGTCGCGTCCCGTTAAACATGCGTGTTCGGCGGCCTGTCAGGGGGGATTTCCGCGGCCAGATCACTCTATGACAGGAGACCTGGTGATGCTCGTTGCCAGAGTTTTGTAGGATCCACGAATGTGCCAAGAGGGGGTCAAGAGGTCGTGGTGTTGAGGGGAAATGAAGACGCTGACGGGGAATTAACAAGGGCGATGATGGCCAGTGGGGTGTTGGGTTGGAGGAAGCTCGTCGTCGAGACCCGGCCTGGGCTAGATGAGGTACAAGTATGATTTGGGGTTGATCGCCGTGGTGAGGCTGGTCTGTATTCGTCGTGGAAGGGAAAAGAAAAAAAAAAAGGAGGGGCGTGTGTGTGGCAGCTGGGTAGGGGGAGGGGAATTCTGGACCGAGAAAAAATTTGAGGGCTTGACGATGTATGCAGATGCGCGCGATGAGCCCGAAAGCCAGCCTTATTCCACAACGGCGGATTTGGCTCCTCACGGCGATGGAGGGAAGCGATGAGCCCGTACAGAACAGGTAAAGTAGAAATGGATACCCAGCAAAGATTTTCTCTGTCAATGGTGAGTCCATCGCTAGAAATGTTGAGTGGCAAGCCTGGGCTTTTCGCCGCAGCCAGTCGGTGGGCAAACCCCAGGGTGATGGCGCCGTGAGGCTTCGATTGGCAGGTCAGGAATCATGGTGCTGCGATCGGGGCAATCGCAGGAGCATCAACGCAAACCATGGAAATCAGGGTCTTGTTTGGGAGCTAGCGAGGCCGTGTCTCACTCCAGAGGGGTGCTGTTAGCGACGAGCTTCCATCAGATGCTCGTTTCCAAGTATGTACGAGTTGTGATTCGAGCACACGGTGCGGAACCGTGTGGGCAAATCGGACAACTGCAGGTGGACGGCATGTGGTTTGTGTATCCACAGAGACTTCTCTCTTATCACTCCGGCGATGGAGGGGATTCAGCCCAAGAAAGCGTGAGAGATGCTATCGGGCCTCTGCTAACGATAGTTCTGTTCCCGCCACTACCTATTTCAACCTACTTGCAGGTCAGCTTATCCCACTCGTACGAGTACTAGACATGCACAAACATTGACTCGTTTTGCTCTCCATACAGCCCCAGATGCTCGGCGGAGAGGCACCGTCTGGCAGCGCCTTGACAGGCCATTTGGCTCCAAGAAAGCGCTAACACGCGTGGCTGGGAGCTAGTCGCCGGCGCCAGGGAGCATTGACAAGCGCCAAAGGCGTCAACTTAATGTGGTGGCAGTCTGGAGAACCGAGTACTGCAACTGTTGAATGCTGAGTCCGTACTGCTTGCGGTCCATCGGATTCCAAGAGCATCGGCCCCGTTGTCTGTCTTGTTTCTATCAACCATTTGCGTCAGTCAAGGCTTGGTTCCAGAGAAGGCTGTTAGTACTTAGGGCTGTACCACACTCCGTACCGCATGTACTCGTACATGAAGATGCTTCCTCGCTTCGACTAGACACATGATCCTTGCTCGGCAGCGCGTGAAGCTCCTTGGCCGCCCATCTCTCCACCTGCGGACTGAGCCAACCAGGACCTTGCGGGGACGCAGGTCGCAAGGTTTGGAGGGTGTAGATCTTGGTTTTTGGCTGGCATCGACCGAGAAGCTGGCCAGGGTCAGCCTTCGGAACTAACTTGATCCGCGACACTGGGCTGTACCGTGGCTGCACTGTACTCCAACCCGTACCCGTACGTGTACGACTTTGCCTGCTCCCGAGTTTCCATTTTGTTTGCGAACCGTTACATACCTTACAATTTCTAATGTCGAGACCACCTCCAGACCACTGATGTGAGCTAAAGCGCCTACGCATACCCGTCATGTGGTCCAGAACCAAAGCCCTCAGAAATCTCGAAGCCCATCGAGGCGCGTCGTCAGCCCAGCCCGAACAAGAACAAGAGGATCCCACCGATGCGCCATCCCTCTTCCGCCGCTGGCATCCTTGACTCGGGCAATCAGCATCTCAATCAGGGGCCGGCCGTTCAGGCGGGCTATATTGTGGCGCGATTATGACGTCCCTCCTCAGACAGATGGGGATCCGTAGCCCAGAACGGTTTGCACGCAAGGATTGTCGATGGGTCTAGACGGGCCCGTCTCGCAACGGCGAGGGTGTGGGAGCGGGCTGGTGTGTGCCTGGGTGTGTGTGCGAGTGGCCCTCTGCAGCATGCTGGAAGCAATTTAGTCGGAGAACTTTGACTTCCTTCGCCTTGGATCCGGTACTGCACGACTCTTGGGAACTTTGCCTACCTCTAACCTACTCGTACGAGTATACGAGTATGACTGCTGCACGGCATGACATTGTTCAGCTTCCTGTCGGCGAGTCATGCGTCTCATTTCTAATCTCTTAACACTTCCCAGCTTCCAACACAGTCACCCTCCATGTACTGCTGTTACCGTCACCTCATTTCAACAATGTCTTACAAAGAGGCAGCATCCTTCACGCGGGACCACCAACCGACGATTTGCCATTGACGCCAGGCTGCATGCTGAGCTTCCCCGCAATGGCATGGATCGGCCTCATTGCTCAACTCTCACAGTTGCAAAACTCCGCCGATTCCCGGTCCACAGCCATTTCTCTCCAACTCTATGGGCACAATGACGTCTGCCCATTTGCCTCTTTTGTTGCTGAGCCCTGCATCAGCACTGCGTCGGCACGTGATGGAATCGGCGAGAACCGGCCCCCACTCGGACTCCAACTCCAAGGCGCGCTAGCGCACAAGACAAGATGCAGATGGTTCGAGATACAGCAATGAACTGCTTTTTCAAACACTGAGCCTTGAAGAAGAAGACAAAGTTGACGATAATGCAATCACTGTCCTCTCATTCCTCTTTGGCTATTTTGACTGCTATCAAAAGGTCTCTCACTTGAGATGCAAAAGTGTCCGCTAACACGGGCTTCTCCAAGCACTTGCACAAGCCCAATGTTTCTCCATCTCCTCGTTGTATCAACCAAATGCTAATTCTATTTTGATTCTACCGTTTCCGTATAATACCGAATAGTATCAACCGGTGCAGCCCTATCTAGGCTCTCCATTTCACGTCGTTTTACATGCTACGCAAACGACAGTATCACAACCTCCGTACGGCCTGTCACGCTCCTCTCGGGGCAGTTTTTATTCAATCCACACCCCCAGGGCGAAGGCCGCCTCGATCTCTCCAGGCTGCACTGCTAGCTCAGATCGGGAGGCCACCTCGGGGCCAACAACCCCAATCGGAGCTTGCCTACATGCATGCTGCGGCTCAAAGTATTGCTGGGCATGCAGGTAGGAATGGAACACGCCTCGTTTCGTTCCCTCAGGGGTCCTTTTGCTCGGCTGCCTCCTTTGCCAAGGGAATGAGTACCGATCCGTTGGATCTCATCTTATTATTCTTCATGGGATGGTGAAGCTTTGCAATAACAGGGCTGAGCGGGAAGAGGCGAACTTCGCCTTGTCGGTGCCGCTGCCACGTTGCCACTAGCTTTGGGTTTGTAGAATCTGCACGACCCTGCTTTTGATGACCGATCTGCAAGGGTTGTGCAATGGCCTGTGCTAGTTTAAGCGCAGGAGAATAAACATCGATACTTGTGCCTTGAAAAGCAAAGCTTAACTAGACTCCAACAATGGTCATAGTCTAGGGTATGAAGAGGAAGAGGGCTACTGCAACAATCTTGACGATGAAGGGGTAAGAATATACCTGGCGTGCACTGATTTTGGTGCTTTTAGTATGGATATAAGTCCTCCCACCGCCTGGCGACGCATCTCTTCCTCAGAAACTGCAGGTCTTCCTTGTGTTAAACTATCCTACTATAGAAATTTCAAAACGGGTACATATAGCAGCATTAGTACCTGGGTAGGTAGGTATGTACTAAAGTAACAGGGGCACGCATAACAGATACAATTCTTGAGCGACCAGTGAAATGTTTTCTCACTCAGGCCTGTGGGGGAAGCTATTCCCATCTCGCTGCTCACAGCCAAAAAGTTCTATTCCATCACAGCTGCAGGGACCCCCGAATAGCGCCTTGATACCACACCACGCCCACCGGAGCTAATGCTCCTAACCAGGGGGGAGATTGAAGCCCTCTCTAACACCAGAAGCAGTATCGCAGATCCTACCCGGCAGGTTAGGGTTGGGTTGACTTATCCAGGAACAGAGAGACGAAAAGGCCATCACTTTGCCACAAGCAATAGGTAGAATGCGCGGGTGCTAATCAAAGTCAAAGTGCCCAATCCTACCCATGTCACCCTACCCTACCCATCAGGCGCAGATTTTGTTTCATAGCGGTGTCCATGTTTCTTATTTCTGTTCTATGTTATACTAGGTATGCAATGTTCATCTCTTGCTCCTCTTACTCTATCTTTAATCTTGCTCTTAATCATGCCCACATAGTCTCTGTACTGTAGTCTCTGCATTTGTTTCTGTTTCATCGTATTCGCTCGTTTTAGGTATAGCACTCCTTTACTCAGCACTCCTCTTAAGGTCCTTTGCAAGGAGAGACTCGCCCGTCATCTCCTCAGGCTGGGGCAGCCCCATGGAAGCCAAAATAGTAGGGGCAACGTCGCCAAGGACACCACCCTGTTTCTTTAGGCTCCAACCTTCGGGAGCGTTGGCCATGATGAACGGCACCTTGTTGGTGGTGTGGCTCGTCTTGGGCTTTCCATCGGAGAATTTCATCTCTTCGGCATTGCCGTGATCGGCAGTGATGAACAGGATGTACCCCTCTTTCTTGCATGCGTCCAGAATCTTTCCAATGGCCTTGTCGGTGGCGGCACAGCCAACAATGGCAGCCTCGTAAACACCAGTGTGGCCCACCATGTCGGGAGGAGCAAAGTTGTTCATGACAAAGGGGAACTTCTGCTCGGCCAGACGCTTGACAACCTGGTCCGCCACGCCGTCTGCAGACATCTCGGGGGCTTGGTCGTAGGTCGCGACCGACTTGTTGGAAGGAACAAGGTCCTGGTCCTGGTCGCGAGTCTCGAGAGGGAAGACCTTTTCAACACCGCCGTTGAAGAAGAAGGTGACGTGGGCGTACTTTTCAGTCTCGGCGATGTGGACTTGCTCCACGTTTTGCTTTCCAAGCCACTCGGCCAGGACGTTGTCCATCTTTTGGGGCTCAAAGGCGGCATCGAAGGGGTAATCAGTCTTGTATCGGGTCATGGTGACAAGCTTGTTGATCTTGGGGTAAGGGAAGTCGGGCAGAACAGATCGGTCAACATCACCGAGCACCTGGGTGATTTGTCGTGCGCGATCGGATCGGTAGTTGAAGAAGAAGACAGTGTCGTCGTCTGGTTCATGGAGTGTTAGCCCTGAATCTCCAATTGATCGGACGATAACTCCCAGTAAACTCACCCTTGATACGGCCCTCGTCACCGCCGATAATAATGGGGGTAAAGAACTCATCCCTGTTCTCCTTGCCCTCTTTCTCATATCGAGCCTTGATAGTAGCAACCGGGTCCTCGGACGCCTCGCCCTCGCCCAGAACAAGACCCTTGAGAGCAACCTCAACACGCTCCCATCGCTTATCACGGTCCATGGCATAGTACCGGCCGACGACGGTGGCAATCTGGCCAAGGCCAAGCTCCTTTATGAAGTCGACCAGCTCCTCCATGTAACCCCCACCAGACTTGGGGTCGGTATCACGGCCGTCACCGAAGAAATGGATGAAGACCTTGGGGACATTGTACTTCTTGGCAGCCTTGAGGATGGCATACAGATGTGTCTGCTTGGAGTGCTGTACGAGCATTAGTATATTTTTTTACCACGGGATTTCTCAAAAAGAGGTCAACCTACCACACCACCGTGAGAAACCAGGCCACAGAGGTGCAGACGGCCATTGCCGCTTGCAGCACCCTCGAGAGTCTTTTTGAGGACCTCGTTGTCGGCGAACTCGTCCTTCTTGATGGTCTGGTCGATGCGGACGACATCCTGCCAGACAACACGTCCAGCACCAATGTTCAAGTGGCCGACCTCGGAGTTGCCCATCAATCCCTCGGGCAGTCCCACCGCCAGCGATGAGGCGTCGAGCTCGGTGAATCCAGTCTCGCTCTTGGAAAGCTCGTCCATGACGGGGGTCTCGGCGGCGGCAATGGCATCGCCATCCTTGGGGCTCTCGTCGGAGGGGATGCCCCAGCCATCAATGACGACTGTAAGAGCGCAACAGCAGTAGAATTAGCCACCCAAGCTCAAGGTACACCAGGACAAAGCAGCAGGCAAGGACATAGTCCGGCCTCTTGGGCGGCGATCCCATCTCAACAGCGGCCGGCGCCGAGTTGACGCGGCGCAGGTTTGGGCGCGGGATTGGCTGAGGGGTGGGAGAGGCATGGCGGGGCAATGGCTGGGAGTGAGATTGAGGAGGAGACGTACTGAGGCAGGCCTTTTGCTCTGTCTTGGACATGGTGAGAGGGCTCAATGGCAGGTTTGGCGGGATGAAGAGAGTGTAAGGAGGAAGAGGGAGAGGACAGTAGGTGCGTGATTTGATGGGGAGATGAAGCTTTTTTTCCACTGCCGGTCCTAGAAACATACCACCTGGACTAAGGAGGCTTGGGATGGTGGGGTTGATGGCGATGGGCCGCCGATGTCATCCATTATCGGGCTCTGCTGATAAGTTCCACCCAAGCACCAGGCGAGTGGTGTTATTAGCACTGGAGCTTCTGCGCACAAGGCAGTACGAGTACAGTTACAGTTGCAGTTGCAGTTAGGTAGCGAGGCGGCAGCGCTAAAGAGCCCTCCGTGCATCGGGCCGTTTCTCGCCCTGGCCACTAAGCTTGCGTCCAATCTCTGCCAACTCCCCTCAATAACCCCGTCAACGTCAACGTCAACGCCTTGCGAGACAAAATTCCCCGTCAACCAATCAATCAGGGCATGCCATTCGTGTCATTATCCATCGTGATTGATCATACGCCTTGACTCTTAGCTAGGCAACTTGGCGACTGACTTCCATACCCTCCCAACGCGTTTCTGGTACTACCTCAAATCAACTGGACATCCTGAGCCCTGAATCCTGAATCCTGAATTCAACGCGTTACCATGGCTTCAGAGCTGCCGGCACTCTCTCTGCCTTCTACGCTGTCCCCCGATGATCTCGACTCTCTGTCCGAGCTGTCCATTGTCCTGGCAAAGGTCCGCGCTGGACTCCAGTCCTCCACTGGCCTCACGACGGGAGCTACTCCTGGCGGGCCAAGCAGCAGCGGCCAGCAGCTCTCTTTCAAGGACGTACCTGGTGCGACCGACAAGCTCAAGCACAAATTGCAGCACGCCAGGGCCCAGGTTCGCGCGTTGCCAGACATGGATCGCTCCATCGAAGAGCAAAGGGCCGAAATCAAAGAGCTCGAAACGCGAATTGAGATGCAGCGTGCTTTGTTAGAAAAACTTCGCGAGAGCGGCGTACAGTTTAGCAAAGACGCATACGCTACTGGAGACAAAATGGAGCTGTGAAGAAGAGATTTGTGCAGACACTTGAATCTCTCTCGAGCCCAAATCAAAAGTAGTCATATCTGGATGATTTTCCCTCCCGAGAGGCTACCTATTAGCTATTTTTACGTATGCGACGCTCGATAATGCAATGGCCTGCGTCTACTCTCTCCATTGGCCACCTCATTTCGGCGGAATTCCAACCTTGGCCAGAATTTTTTCGACACTGCCGCCTGGTTGGCCCGGTACAATCTTGGTCCAAACCTCCTCGTCAAGCCTCTGGGTTTCGGATAGAGTGGTCCAATTGGGACTCGGGGTTGTTTTCAACCATTTGAAATCATCAACCTGGTCCCACTGATTCTCTGTCGATTTATCGGACTCGGTTTGCTGTACAGACAAACAAAGTCAGCGCCTTTCGTTACACAAAAATAAAGTCACAAACCAAGGGCAGATACATACATAACACGAAGGAAGAGGAGCAAAGCGCATGCCTGAGCAGTCTTCAATAATGGGGTGGCTAGCGCAGTGCAGATAGATATTGACGTTTTTGCAGTCATGAATTCGGACCTGATGCGCCACAACGACCAAAGTGCTGTTGGACACATCGTTGATGTGTATTGGTCCATTTACCCTACCGGCCACGATAAGACATCTGTCGATATTCTTGAGGATGAGACCGGGGAACGGTGCTCCTTGAGCTGTGGGTATTGAAAGGTCAATAACACAGTCTTTCAGGTCCCGCAGCGATCCCGATGCGGTAGCTCGCGAAGCAGAGGAGGGAAGGATAATGTGAAGGCCAGTCTGGTCCGAGATGCCAATACTCTGAGCAGCAGAGAAGCTGGGCTTGCGAATAGATCCGGCACCTAGCTTTGCCAGCTCCTCGTTGTAATCTTTTCCCCTGGATGGCAGATCACCCACGATATCCCGGGCCTCTTCCGATATGCTTCTCGCTGCTCCGGGTGCACGTTTTGGACTATGAGGGCGTCGGGATAAGCTGCCCGGGTTCAATCGCGGGTCGTTTTCGGGTGCTCCCATGTCAACATGGTCGGTTCCAGTGCGCCGAAACTGGAAGCGTGACTTTGGTGCTACTTTGGCAATCGTTTCGTTGAGCTTATCTTGGAGGCTTTTGATTGCCTATAAACATGATTTGCGATCAGTCTGGCTTCTCTCAAGACGGGATTATGGAGGAGGGCGACAGACATCTGAGTATTGGCGTCGATCGTATGCCGGGGTGAATTCGGCGGCATCGGCAACCTCATTCTGCAGCTTGCTGATGCCAGCCAGGATGTGGTCTGTAGCCTCTTGTCGCTCGCCTCCGATGGAAGATAGATGTGCCAATTGATCAATCTGATCTTGAAGAACTGCAGAGGGGGAAAGAAGAGCCATTCGTTAGCAATCATGCGTTGATGAATACCAAGGTACCATTTGAGGTCATAAGTAAGCCAGAAGCAGCAGCCCACCTTCAATGCTGTCACGAAAGTGACGGTAGAACTTCTCCTTGGGATCCACGGTGGTAGCCATCGGAGCGACAATATGCTATGGTATGCCTTGTGAAGGAATTGCCGTGATATTCGCCGCCGTGACTGGGTACTAGGTAGAGAATGCAGAAATAAGGTGAGATTGAGAGAAAACTGCCGGTGTATTTATGCGTTGATGCTGCCTGGGCAAGCTCTCCGCGTTTTCGCTTCAGCCTCCAAGGCAGCTTCTTTCGTGCCTCTTCTTACACCAGCCCTGTCAGGTGGTCCTTTCCTGTTGGCAACACACGACACGCGATCGAACGACACAAGTTCGATTTCCCGGGAGCTGCACGACTTCCGGATGCGCACACAGCGGGCAATCGCGTGATTCCGTACTATGGATGATGCGACTCTTGAGGGGAAAAAAAGCTGAGAAGGAGGAGAGAAAAGGAGAGAGGGAGAGGTAAAAGTTGGGGAGCTGCAGGATCAGGAAAAATACAAGAACGAAGTGAAAGTGAGCGTCATATGAATTGACCCCACGCTACCTTTATGGACTGGAAAGGGAAAAGAGGGGCGGCGAAAGAGCTGGTCAGGGGATCTGATGCTGGGCAGCTTAAGTTGATGGCTGAATGGCGGGGAGCTAAGAGACGTCATTTTACGGCGAGGCTTTGAGCCATATTGATGTTGAGTTTTCAATTGTTTGGATAGATACGGAGTATGTAAGATATAGTAGACATGTGTCGTGCAACTCTCGCTTGCTGCGGGCGTGCGTTGGTATGTTACGCCACTATTTGTGTGAGTGCATTGATTAATTAATTAATCACGAGGTCTTGTTTCATTTGATCATGGCAAAGATTTGCGAGCTGCACGCAATTACACGAGGAACAAACATCGCTTAGCAGTGAATTGGTACATCGCAACTTCACGTTGTTCATAACTCCAAGGTTTCATTGTCCAATTGCTTGTTTTATTAATTTTTTTTGATACTTAAGGTTAAGCTTTGTTGTTGTTGAAATGATGAGAAAACTCATTGCCCGACTGCCAAACGCCAGCTCTTATGACTATCCTTCTAGTTCTTTTGAGGACTGGAATTGGGAGAAGAATAGAACACCGAAGAGAAGAAAAAATAGGAGGCGCGATGCTCCTTTCATAAATGTGTCCATTGAAGTGGAGATCAAACTTGTATCCCATCGTATGCTAGCAACTGCAACACAAATGACACAAATAAAAGCCTTCGTTGCTCGCCAGCAATAGCATAAAAGATGGGAAACAAAAAGGGAAAAAACAATAATAGGTATATAGAAAGAAACTGCAAGATATGCTTTCTACTGATGATGCCAGTCATGATATGGCTAGTATGAGAAGAGAACAAGAACTGTTGTTGCTGCAGCATCAAAGACATTGTCGTGATTCATGTTCCAGAACATGGAAAGAAGTGAAAGCAGAAATGTATCTGAAATATCATCACTTGTGACTGAGGTCGTTATGCAAACCACACAAACGTCCGACAATTGTCACAGGTGTATTTCTGAGCCGGGTTACAAGTGCATGAGGAACATGAAGACACCGGAGTAGGTAAATGAGCTTGGTTGAGGTGACTGAGTTCAGGAGGGGTGGCCGAGTCGTCTGAAAATGTGTCGTTCTCGGGGGTGAGGCGTGTGAACTCGCGGAGACCACTCAGTATCTCAGCCGAGGGGGTGTTGATGCCCGAATCCACAAACTGAGAACACAAGTCGAAGTCTTGCTGCAGCGGAGAAGCGTGCCTCATCTCAGAAGTCTGTTCCATCTGCATAAGAGGGGAATGCATTTGAGCCGGAGAAATCATTCCCATCCCCACGGGAGAGTGCATCTGCATCTCGGGAGACTGTCCCATCCAGGGAGTCTGCTGCACCCCATGAGCAGGCATTCCGGAAATCGGCACCTGTACTTGCATCCCAGACATCTGCATCATCCCCGGGGGGTCTATCGGAGAAGTCTGTTGAGGCAGTGGCTGCAGTGAAGTCTGTCGCGGATACCACTGAGGACCTGTTGGTTGGACTGCCGCTTGCTTGTAATTAGGAAAGTATTGCTCAAAGGCCTGGTTGATGTCGTTTCCCCGCCATCGTTGGAGAGATGACTCTATGAGGTCGCACACTTCTTTTCCGCCGTGGCCGCCCTGCAAAGAGCCCGATGGCAAACGGAAGCTCCACTCTTTGAACCGTTCCAACTCGGTATCCTCTTCCTCATACATGGCCTCATTGAGAACAATCTCACGGGTGATTCGAAGGGCTTTCCCGGTTCGCTTCTTGTGTATTTTGCTGGCCTGCAGAGCAGATTTGATCCGCGCCTCTATGTCTCGATCACTGCGCCGCGAGGCAGCTATGTACGCGCGCTCTGTGTTTTCATCATGAGTTCGCTCCGACTGTAACCGCTTAGCATCCTGTCATATTCATGGCTATTCTGAGGCTTACCTGGGAGTTTGATTTCCGACGTTCCGCCTGCTGTTTCTGCTTGGGTTTGCCATTCGTCTTCTTGGGAGGGCACTCGACTGCTGAAACCCTGGTATCCAGCTTGTCCATATTTGTTGCGGATCCCGGCTCTTGAAACCTCTTATAGAATAAGCTGTGGGCGGAATCCCCCGTGGGGGGGTAGTTGGCGAATTATCGGCTAAGCGATAGAGCTCAAAGTCGAAATCAAAATAAGTGAAGAAGTTGTGCTCCTCCGCGATGTAAGAGACACACTCGTCGTGGGCGAAGGTATGGATCTCCTTTGGCTGGTAGCGGTACAAGTTGCAGTAGTATAAGATGGCGTTCACCGGAGGTACTTGTTCACACAAAATAAGGTAGTATCGTAGGTATCAATTTGAAGTTAAGATAAGCGTCACTTGGAGTAGAGATATCACAAAGCTTTCGGTGATGTGATGCAACAAGAAGGAGAGAGGGAAACGAAGTGTGTGGGCTGGCCAGCTTGCAGCTTTTAATCTCCCCCCTCAAAGATCGTCCATCTGCCTCCGCACAGCTGCAACAAGCAACAAGGCCACCGATTCGAAAATGCATGGTTGGGCTAGTGCTTCGCGCCCCGATCTGCAACTTCTGAACTCATCGGATTCTGGTCGGGAGATCGCGATCTCGATGCGGAGCAGTTAGGCCTGTGGCGCAGGAAAAAGTACCGCCCAGGTACCTTGGGGACCGCATCTCTTTCTTGCTTGCAGCCATGCACTCGTACTCCCGACGTTACTGTGGGCGTTGGTAAGACGGGCATGTGGTCAAGCCTCATTTTGATTGATTTTCCCTGATGAAGGACATGGAAGAATTGAAGCCTGGCTGAATACAAGGTAGCAAGTAAACCGGTACCTACTAATCCTCCAGCGCCCTTTGGAGCATCACAGCGCGTAAAGACAGCCTGCAAATGTTGAAAGAATGCTGTGGGCATGTCCCTTCTCTGCTTCTCCATCATGTGATGCACAAGGCCGCTCAGCATCAGACAAGATCCATACCAGCAGCCATCAGCCACCTCGCTCATTCTCACGACCAAATGATCTCTGTTCAGAGTCCCCCCATCATCACACATGATCTCAATTTCAACATGTTCAACCGTGAATCGTGACCTTGGCAAAACAAAAGCCCGTCTGCTACCGGTATTTCCAAGATTCAAAGGCACAACGGAGCTTCTGCTCCGCCCCCGTCGCCGTGGAACCACAAGGTGGCGGTACTTGCGAGTACATGCGCGCCTTAACAGCCCGCCAATTGATCTGCACCCTGATACGGCAGGATTTGGCAAACCTCCCCCTGCCTGCTATCCGTGCGCTAGGCCTGATGGGAGGGCTCCGCATGACAGCCAACTTGCGTCAGACAACCTCCAACCTCGCTGCTGAAATTGCTGATGTGCTTTTGATTGCCTGCAGATCCTTGATTCAGCTCTGTCGAGCTCCTTCCAGAAGCCACATCCCGAGGCATTGGGTCGCCATTATGTCACCCAGCAGGAAGAAAAGATGGCGCTTCTCGGAGCAGATGGTGCGACGCTTGTTGTCTCTCACCTCTCGCCATCCAGGCGGATGCTCAGTTTAGCGGATGGCGACACTGCGAGGAGATGGGCGTTTGACCACGTTTTGCTCGCCATCGACGCTATCATGCCGGGGGGGCTTAAACCATGTTTACAGTCTTTCGTAAGCAAACGATCGACCGCTACGGCGAGGGTTTCTCTCTGGTCCGCATGCAGCAACCTCTCATGTGCCTCTACATGCCGAGAGCTTTCCCAATTCAGTCAGCATCGAGCTCGAAATACTACACAAGCAAACAAGGTACTGCTGTAGGCAAATGTCTAACCGCGGTACCTGCATGCCTGTAGTATGTAAAACAGTCTGGTTCCATGTACATACGTACGCCTATGCGTCCGATTAACTCGGCCAATCAAAGCTGCAGCCTAATCGTGGAGTACTTACTCCGTAGATTGCTCTGCAGAGTCTCTATGTTGTCCACGAGTTCTTGAAAAACCTCCATGACAAATATCCCATCTACGCCTCCATCAAAGGTTTCAGGTCCGGTCTTCACTACGGCCCCGGGTAGTCCGTCTTCCGGATCTGCCACCTTTGGAGATGTCCCGGCGGTAGATCAAGCTGCCGACCATGACATCAATCGTGAAGTAAATTACGGCGAGGCTGGTGAGCAGAAACACTTCGGGGCATAGGCCGTCAACCAATCACTTCTGTGTCTTCACGACTGTCTTTTCCCCGAAAGTTCCGCCAGTTCCTCGAATATACATGCCCCGTACATGCCGAAATACTCGTTATTGCTGCAATGGAAATGGTATCTCCTCATCCAGGACGACGCATGCTCGGGCTGCCCATGCTAAACATGTCTCTCCCTTGATAGTGGCTAAAGGGGCTTGACGCGCGTCTTCGTCTTCAGGAGACTCGTTCTCTCTCCTTCTACCAGTGGCAAGGGTGAGATGAAAGCCTCAACTTGCCACGTCTGATGGCAGCACCCGCTGCAACCCGCGGGCAGCCGACTCAAAATTACCTTTTGCGCCCTCAAGCCTCAAGCCTCAATTCTCAAACTTCAAGCCCATTCCGTGCGGCACCATCCATGAATGGCGTCGAGTGAGGCTGCCTACCCTGTAGCCATACAAGGCGTTGTTGCCAAAGGCAAATTTCCACGTTGGCCACCACGTTTTCCCCAAACTCTATGCCTATGCTTGAAACCACGTCTTTTGTCACGGCCAGTTTTGATATCAAAGTGTCTCGCTGACTGCCGGGGCCTAATCGATGGCACTGAGACCGCGTCGTGAACGCGCACTGACTAACCACAATACTAAGGCGGAGACTAAGCTACTAAGGGCCGGCAAACCCTTAGTCCAGCTATAAAGACCCGGAGCTCTATAAAAATGTAGCAAGGTCAAAAAACACCATCACCTCGCTACCCTTTGATCGCCCTTTTCTCTCTTCACTCTCTTCCACCAACCCGACTTTTGACACTGACACTCATCGCGAACATATCCACTGCTGACTATGGAGGAGAGACAACAGGTACTATTGCGAAAAGGTCAGACGACTCCGCTACCAATACAACTCTCGAATCCTTCCCGATCCTCCTCCAGACCCTGGACAGGGCGGCAGGTAATCACGTCAGACAAAAAGAAAAAGAATAACGGGTGCAGGATTCGAACCTACGCCTCTTGCGAGATGCGAAATCCTTCTTGAAAGGATCAAGATATCATCTTGAGTCGCACGTGTTAGACCACTCCACCAACCCGCCTTTGCGTCTTTGCTTGTTGGAACTCTATGGTTACAAGAAGCCTTATATGGGAACATCAAGGAGCTCTGAACAAAAAAGAAAAAGAATAACGGGTGCAGGATTCGAACCTACGCCTCTTGCGAGATGCGAAATCCTCTTGAAAGGATCAAGATATTATCTTGAGTCGCACGTGTTAGACCACTCCACCAACCCGCCTTGGTGTTTTCGTTGGAGTTTTGTGATTAGACCCAGGCTTATATGGGAATAACCTGGAGCTCTGGATAAAACAAAGAGTGACCAGCAGTTGTAACATTCGAACCTACGGAGTACTCTACGCCTCTTCCGTATCCATACCTGTAATCCGTATATTCGTATGCGAGCCATGTATGCCATGTGCTTAGTACCTAGTAGTTGTTGGGATGCCTGCAAGAGAAAAAGCTGAATGCCACCTCTACGCCCCAGCTGCGATTCACGCTCATCAGTCATCATGTAAAACAGCACCAGACGCTTGATCATTTGCAAAAGCCACCAGTGGCACGCATGTGGCCACTCGCAAGATGCACGGGGCTGCTCTTTTGCATTGGACGTTGCGCCTCTGCGGTGCCATCGCCAGCCAGAGCCTTGACCATGTGGGCTGATGATTGGCCCGTCGCCATCTTCCGCCTTGGCACGAGGATTAGCTGGTAATCTCTGGTCTTCGTACTATCTAGCGAGCGGCCGGGGAGTGGCTGAGCTGGAGCAAGACTTGACGGACGGGCAATAGGGATAAAGGGGGAAGAGGGGAGAGGAGAGCAAGAGAGAGGCTGCCCAAGATTCTGCTCTGCCCAGCACAAAGAACGGACCAGACGGCACTTGAAGCTGCATGTACGAGTACTCGTGTCCATCTAGTATCTACATGTATCATCTAGCCGCCTATATCGCCGTGCATCAATCACAATGGATCGCTACAATCTCTAGATTCTTCCACCGGCACTGCACTGAAGCGCATGCGGCTTGGCGGCTCTCTAGTGGTTGCCGCCGCCCTGGGAATCCCTGTCACCGACCCCCCAGCCAGTAACTCGGCCGCCTGAGTCCACTGTGGTCCCCTCTTGGTGCCTCTGAAACGCCACGCCAGCGGACGGCTCCAGACTTTTCTTTTGCTGGGGCGTGGCATGCAAAAGTGATTCCCCATTTCCACTTTCTCACCTGCTTTGCCTGGCGGCAGAGGCAAAGAACTCGACTCTTCTCTATCGAGCCTCTACGGACTCGACCGTTACCCTGCTTCACCGTTTGCAATTTACCACTTCGGCTGCTTCTTCCTCTTGCGTGGCAGCGGCGGCGCATATCAACTGGCCCGCCCCTCTCCTGCAGCGGCTCTCTTGAAACCTACCCACGCCTTCCAACATGTCGTCATCACCGCCATCACCGCCAGCCGCTGCGACGCCGGACGAGCCCCATAACGAGGGATCCAAGTTGCGCACCTTCTTGGGCATCTTGAGAAAGTAAGAGACGCTCTTCCTACCGCGCCTCTTTGGATGCAATTTGCACTTGCGTTGCTCTCAAAGTGCCACCGTCACGATGCTCTTACACCAAGAGGCGAAACCGGCGGTAAAGCCTAGTGGGGCATCCGAGTTTCGAAAGGGAGAAAGAGAGTGTCGCTTTCGATGGAATAACTTCATCAGCCGTGCAAATTGAGTTTTGCCGGATGCATTCAATCAATCTGACGTGGAAACCATGCTGATGCCTGATTTTGCGAGCGTAGATTCATCGGGGTCACGGACCTCGCCTCGGTTCGATTCTCTCTCCCCTCCCAACTCCTGGAGCCGACCCCGAATCTCGAGTACTGGACCTACCTCGATGCACCCAACGCCTTCGTTGCCATCGGCACGTCCGATGAGCCCCTCGACCGGATGCTGGAAGTGGTTCGCTTCTGGCTTACCAAGGATCTGAAATATGCAAAGGGAAAGCCTTGCAAGCCGTACAACTCGTGTCTCGGCGAGTTCTTCCGGGTGAGTCCCTGCCCCACCACCCGATGCTGGACAGACAGCAGGATTGGATCGGACCTTCGCTATCACGATATGAGACGAGGAGGACTTGATGACGCTGACATTTGGATTTGATGCAGTGCAACTGGGAGACGGAAGACAACGCTCCGAGGATAAACACCCTCGACCTCCAGACCCCCACTGCACCGGGATCGAGCTCGAGTTCCATCAAGGGAGCGGCTGCCAACTTGAAGGCGGCTTCCAAGAGCGAGAACAGTTCCTCTTCAGTGTCCTTGTCGGTCCCTCAACATGGCACGCCTTCAGACGAGGCAGGCCCGCTCCTCCGCATTTCATACCTCACCGAGCAAACATCACATCACCCTCCCGTCAGTGCCTTTCATGTTACCTGTCCTGAAAAGGGCATCACAGCTAGAGGCTTCGATCAGATTACTGCCAAGTTCACTGGCACATCTGTCAAGGTTCTTCCTGGCGAGCACAACATGGGCATCTTCATCTCGTTGGAGAAGCGAAACAACGAGACGTACCAGTTGACGCATCCCGCTGCCCATCTCGGCGGTCTGTTCCGCGGAACGTTGAGCGTATCTGTGAGCGAGATGGCATACATCACATGCCCCGATACCAAAATCAAGGCCATTCTCCACTACGTCGAGGAGGGCTGGCTGGGCCGGACGACCAACAAAATCGATGGTGTCATTTTCAAGTATGACCCCGAGAATGATGACAAGACCCGAGTTCAGGATGTGCCAGACGAGGACGTCCTGGCTAGGCTGAGCGGTCCCTGGAAAGAAAAGGTTGTCTTTTCGCTGGGCCCCAGACCTATGGTATGTCTTGCTGCCTTGAAATCCATCTTGTCTTCGAAAATGCTTACTCTGATTTGTCTTGTAGAAAACTGTTCCCGTGGAAGAACAGCACGTCATCATTGACATTGTCCCGCTCAACGTTGCTCCCAAGATTCTCCCGCCAGATGAGCAGATGCTGCCCAATGAGTCACTCCGCCTGTGGGGAGGCGTCACCGAGGCTATCCTCGCCAAGCAATTTTCCAAGGCAACCGAAGTAAAGGTGGCCCTGGAGGAAGCCCAGCGAGAGAAAGCCCGGAAGCGGGAGCAGAACAAGGAGACCTGGCAGCCCGTCTTCTTCGAACACGTCGTCGGCAACGGCGGCAAGCCCGACCTCACCGAGAAGGGAAAACAAGTTCTGGAGCGGGCCCAGAAAAGCGATTGGAGCCTCGACGGCATTGTTGCATAGAGCGGAGGAAGAAAAAGAGAGTGTGGCCAAGGGTTGGATAAGGGCAGATGCATATTTGGACGGATGAGAAATTTGGCATGACGACATATACATATACCACGCGGGTTGATTGGCCTATACGCATAGATTGTGTTCGCAGCACACTACAGATTTGCTTTAGTTATTTTTGGCTTAGAGTTTCTTTTCTTCTTCTTCTTTTACATTTCCTTGTACCATTGGGTTCGCGGCTACAGGCTTGTTAGTTTTCCCAGTCAAACACATGACTGCCCTTTAGATATAAATTGAGATTTCAACTGTCACTTGGGACGTATATACATGCTACTAGGCAGTACTGCCAATCACCGTTTTCAACACGGAGCAACAATGGATTTGCGTAAAATAGGGAGTCCCTGTTATGATTTTTTATGTGTGTGTTTCTACATTGATATCAATTCGTAGGGGTGGGCAGCGTTGGCCGTTTATAATACATGAGTGAGGACATTTCCCAAAAAAAGAGCTTTTTCTATAATCACAAAAATCACCGTTTCCCTTCGTTTTCACCTTTTGACATGGACCGTAACCCGACGACCGACATTAGAATTCGTACATGATTTTCTTTTCTTTTTTCCACCTTGAACTTAGGCGTCAACAAAAGTTCGGACATTCTGAAGCCAGCGGAGGTACTCCTGCTGCTCCTTGGCGTCGACGTAGTCGGGGACAAAAGCGGCCAGAGTCTCGTTGATGCCGCGCTCCTCGAGGAAGCGCTCCATCAGCACCTGCAGGTCCTCGTCGAGGCTGCCAAAGGGAGGGCCGGGGTAGACGTCGGCGCGCTGCTGGGCGGCCTCGGGGGAGTCGATGCGAGCGACCTTTGCGTCCTCGTAGAAGAACATGTTGTCGACTTGGATCTCGCCGTCGCGGGCGGTGGCGTCGATGTTGAGGGCGCCGTTGGTCTTGCCGGGCTTCTCGATGAGGATGGAGAGGTTGATGGGGGCGCCGGCCTCCTCGTCGACGTCGCCCTCGAGGGTGTCGTCGGGGTTCTGCTGCTTGTCGGACTGGAGGGACTCCTCGGAGAGCTCATCCTCCTCGAACATGTCCTCGGAGTAAGGGTCGAAGTTGGTGATGTCGGCGATGGAGAAGCTGATGGTGATTCTGAGGGAAAGAGAAAGATTGTTAGTCAACGGAGCGAGTTTTGACGGATTTGGAGAAACTCACTTCTCCTCGCCGTAGCTGCGGGTCAGCTTGACAACCTCCTGGCCGGGCGTATCGATCAGCTCAAACGGGCTGTTGTCGAGGAAGTCCTTGATGCTGGTGGGCTGCTGCTCATTGGCCTTGATGTCCTCCTCGATCTGGATCTCGCTCTCCAGCTTGGCAGAGAGAGCCTCGTCAACCTCGACATCCTCCTCTTTGCTTCGGCGGACGGTGGTGGTGGAGAAGGCGGCGGCTCGGGTGGGCAGCAGCTTGATGGCGGGGGTTCTGGCGAAGCTGGGGCGGGCAATGGCGGATGAGCGCAGGGAAGCACCGGCCGCGCGGCTGATGGTTCGCGGGGCGGATCGCGCAATTGTTCTGAGGGAAAGCATTTTGAAGTGTTGTTGGCTTTGGTTAAAAAGAGACGGAGGTATGGGTATAGCTGTGTAGATGGTTGGTGAGGGATGATGTAGTAGCTACGAAGTAGTGCCAGTTTTTTTTTTTTCATCGGGATTTTTTTGTCCCACTGGGCGGGCATTGGAGCTACACTGCCAGCTGCTCCGTTGCCCCACGTGACTAATTCACTGGAATGCAAGCACTATAAATCCCTGGAGCTGTTGATTAAACATTCGAAGCACAAAGTAAGATTGAGCGCAGTAAATGTATCAAATATGAGTGAATTATATTTCGTGCTGATAGTTTATCCATTCCATCAAGGTAAATTACTACAATGGGCTGGTATAGTTGATTCATCTGTTTCTATGTGTGTATATAGCCGCTGCGCGCGAGCCTACTACTAAGGTAATCCTGTCTCACCATGAGACCGAGAGAGAAAGGTGAAAAAAAGAAAAGGAAAGCTGACAGGTTACCCTTTCTGTTACCTGCCATGCTGTCCAGTTGCTCACAAGCTCTCATAAATATTGGGCATTTGTGAATAGATGTTGCGGCCTGCGTAAGCGCCTCTCCATTCATATGCCGTTTCCAAACAAACGCCTACTCCGACATCATGATCTAGACCGCTCAAGTGGCCGCCCGATGACCAGAGAAGTCGGGAAATCTGGGTTCCGTAGAGGCCATCATTCGAACCAGTAGCCTCATATGTAAGCTCCGAGTCATAGGGAGGCTTTCGTGCCTTGGGACAAGTCGGTTGAACATGGGCAACCGCTTGCCAGCACCAGAGCATATGCGTTATGTCGCATGCGAATTCCTGAATGCTTTATGTGAAAAGAGTTTGAGGTAAGAAGCTCTTTCAGTTTATGGCCTTTGAAGGCAGCTCAGCTTTGCGAATGTTGCCGGCAGTTGTGACTTTGATCCAGGGGATAGTGGTAAGATATGCCCAAGAGCCTTCCCAAGCGTCCAAGAGCTTGACGTTTTCAGCCGTCGTGATATCAGGAATCACTGAAAGATGTAAGTTGGGTGGGCTCCTGGAGTTGGAAGCATGATTAAAAGACACTTACAGAATCCTTTGGTATACTCTTCCTCAAGCGCAGATATCTTCATCTTCAAAAGATCTTCCTTGGTACTGGCGGGCCGTCCAGCGCGGCGGGTTTTCTTCACAGCGTCGTACTCTTCATCATACTGATGAACATATCTTTCTCATAGAGCCACAGTCAGCTTCTAGTACTTGTTGGACAGAGGCGAGGCAGTTGGTACATACGTGTGGATGAGCGCTTGGACAGCTGCCACTTGGAGCGGTTCAGCACCTTGCTCTCTCACATTCTGTTGGAAAAATGAAACACGTTCCACTTTGAGCAGCTTGTCAGATATCAACTGGAGATTGGTTCACCTCATTCAATGGTCGCATACCGATGGGTTGTTCTCTCTTGCTCCTCGCCGCAGCAAGTTTCTCCAGTCTCTGGTCTCTTACTCCGGCCTTGTGCAGTCTCAGAGAGTCTCTGGACTTTTCATGCAGGGCGTTGACCTCTCCATTGCGCTTCTTGGAAATGTGCTTGCGAATCTTCTGAAGCGTGCTAGGCATTTTGTATGACTTGTCCTCTTCGATGAAATGAATATTCGATAATCAAGGCACAGTTGAATGCGTGATTGAAACGTCGCTGAAGGCCTAGTTTTTTCTTCTTCAATTCTTTCGCTAACGGTAACTGATGGCCAAAGTCTGGAAGGTTTTTTCTTGGGCACTAAAGGGACAGGGATGTGATGCTAAAATGGGTAAGAGAAGTGGCGGCTATTGTTCGGATAGTGCTGACCTACTAAGTTCAATATCCGCAAATCATATGGAGAGATTGCTCGTCCTCTGTTTACACTGGAAATATAAGTATCATTCTATATGTTTGCTCATTGAACATGTTCTTTAGAATTAATTGCCAACTAATTTCATTGATGTCTTTCAGTCACCCGTCATGGCGCATTGTGAGCCCGAGTCCAAGTACATGCACAATCTTGGCCATTCCCTTCCCGCCCCCACGATCTAAGTGGTGTTACCTGGTACCTCGGTAGAGATTCTTGTAGTCAACAATGACTTGTTTCCCATTGCTCCAACAGAAATCAGAAAAACAATGCATAGAAAACTCCCATATTCATTTCAAGCTACAAAGTAATCTATACACTCATTTCCCACGCCATTCCATGCGTCACGCTGTGAAATTCGTGCATTTCTACAAAGTAAATATACCCTCTCCCGTGGGGTTGTAGCCTGGTTGCTAGGTCAATCCGTGCCTGTCCAGGCACTTTTCCCACGCCAACAGCGCTATGACACGCGCTCCAGGTGCCGGCTGGCGTGGATCCGCCCATTAAAACCCCCCCAAGCGCGTCTTGTCTCAGCAGCTACAGAGCCCATAAGCCCGTTAGCCGAGATGCAACTCGCACCTCAGGCGTGAATCTTGTCCGCTTCAATATCCTCACTTGCTACACCGACAGACGCTTCTCCGCTGCCAATCCCGCTGCCGACCAGCTCGCTGCCACGAACGCGTGATTCTGCCCTCTTGGAGCCGCACGACTGTCGCCGCAACCCTCTTTCCTGCTCGACGTGCCCTGTCTGTTTGGGCCTCGTGCTCAGCAGTCACCGCGTCCAGGGACCCGTCAGTCGATGTACGGGCATATTGGCTTGTTCGCGCGGACCTAGGGAGTGGGATTGGGGTCATTTGTGGCGGGAAGCCCTGAGATTTTGCTAATTGTTCCTTGGATTTGGTGTGTTTTGAGTGGGGTGTCAAAATGGGTGTAACAGGTAAGGATATGGCATGATGAGGTCGCGGATCGGTGGCCAGAGATGCTTAGGTTGGAATGTTATGCTGATGCTTACTTTGAAAAGGCCTTTTACCGCTTCTCAAGTCGATCCAGAAGCCGACAGAGCTGAAAAAGTTCAATGGAGAGACTCTGGCCGTAGACGGCTATGGATGGCTGCACCGGGCTGCCTATTCGTGTGCCGTCGAGCTTGGTCAAGGAAAGCCCACCAAGAAGTGAGTTTGAGAAGCTTGGCTCTATGGTACCTATTCAGTGCGGTATACTAACACCCGCTTTCAAGGTTCATCAATGCTGCTCTGCATAGAGTCAAGATGCTGAAGCATTTCGGTGTCACCCCCTACATGGTATTTGACGGCGACTTTCTCCCTAGCAAGGCTGCTACCGAGGCCTCTCGTGCTAAAAAGCGAGAGGATAAGCTCAAGCTTGCCAACGAATATCTCAAGGCCGGAAGGTCCTCTCAGGCAGCCCAAGAATTCCAGAAATGCATTGACATCACTCCCGAAATGGCGTCTGCCCTGATCCAGCAGCTGAGAAAGATGGATATTCCCTACGTCGTGGCCCCGTATGAAGCAGATGCTCAGCTCGTGTACCTTGAGCGTCACGGCTTTGTCGATGGCATTATCTCAGACGACTCAGATCTGCTCGTCTTCGGAGCAAAGCGGCTGCTAACCAAGTTGGATCAATACGGAAACTGCATTGAGATCAACCGACGGGATTTCTGTGCCTGCCGCGAGATTTCTCTGACCGGGTGGAGCGACACCGAGTTTCGACGAATGGCGATCATGAGTGGTTGTGATTATCTCAACGGTCTTCCAGGGGTAGGGCTTAAAACAGCATACCGGATGCTGCGAAAGACAAAGTCCCCCGAGCGCATTGTCCGCTTGTTACAATTCGAGGGGAAACGCGTATCGGAAAACTACCTGACTCTGTTCTACCAGGCGGAGCTCACATTTTTGCATCAATGGGTATTCTGCCCTACCAAGAAAGAGTTGGTCCATCTCACAGAGTTGGATGGGACACGCACAGCGGAGGAAATGCCCTTCATTGGGCCTCACGTTGAGCCGGAGATGGCTCGTAAAATCGCAAATGGCGATGTAAACCCCATCACGAAACTGCCCATCATTCTGCCCGCTACGCCTTCCAAGCGGAGGCATTCTCAGAGCGCTGCGGCCGCTGATGCTTCGGGTCGCCCGCTTTCCAAGCCCATCAATTCATATTTCAAGGGGCATGATCGGATACCCATGGCCGAGATGGATGCCAATTGTTTTTCCGTCGACCGCCAACGACTTTCGCAAATTACATCCGAGGGCGCCGTTTCACGAGTGTTCCCGTTACCGAGACCTTACATTCCTGGATCGCAGCAGTCGGCTGATGGCACAAATCCCCGTCAGTTGACGCAACCAGCTCCACGGACCTCGCCTCGCCTGAACCGACGGCGCACTGAACCGATCTCCAGTCTACTGGCCAGTGTCTCAAACAGTCGCCCACGCCAGACAGATGCCTCAAACCGGCCTCCAAAGAAGCCGCGTCTGTGTGACGACTCGCTTGATGCCAACGCAGACGGATCACCAAAGAAGAGTCGGTTCTTCCCTCCCAAGAAAGCGCTCAGAAAGAGCCCACGGAAGGCAAACAGCGACGTATATCTGATGTTATCAGATGACTCTCTAGATGAAGCGCTCAGTAATCTACCTGATATTGAAGGCTGGGCGTCTGGACCGCCAAAGAGACGGATTTCAATATTTTCCGACAAGCAAAAGGATGTGCCTCCTAGTCAGCCCGAAAGTGTCAGTCAACAAGACTCTACTCAGAGAGATACAAAGCAACCAAGCCGCAGTCAACAAGACTCTGTTCAGGCAGATACAAAACAACCAAGCATCAGTCAACAAGACTCTACTGAGACAGATACAAAGCAACCAAGCCCTAGTCAACAGCAAGGAATTAGTCAACCATCCATTACAAGCCAAGAAACAGGACTCACCTCGCTAGACACCAGCCAGCCAGAACCCCCAAATGAAACACCCGAATCCTCGGTCGATGCTTCTACGCCTCTTCCAAAGCTTCCAGAATCCCCGTCTCAAACCGCTCGCACTCCCCCCCGAACCCGAACTAGCTTGACTCGCTTCTCATATTCCTCCAAATCTTCAGAGACACCGGCGTCAACAATGTCACAATCCTCCTCGGTATTCAGCGCCGCCTCTGCAGCATCTACCGCGCCCTCCACAGGCCGAGCGAGGCAAACGCCCCTTCAACGCATGAGAGCGTGGGCACTCAAGGCTCCGGCATCCCCAACACTGCCCGTGTCACGAAAAGGTGCTGGGAGCGCCAAAGGAGCAGTCGAACCTGCGCTTGTCCCACTCCCCAAGGTGGACTTGAATGAAATGGGGGCGTTGAATAAACCGTGCGGAAGCGAAGACCAAATCATCCCCGCTAGCGACGAGGAAGAGGAGGAGGAGGAGGAGGAGGAGGAGGAGGCCAAGCTTCCTACTAAAAAGCTCAACCTTGCTCGTTTCGCTTATTCCTAATGGCGGCGCGTTGTTTCATTCCTTTTTACCTACTCTTACCCAGCAGACGTTTTGGAAGTCGAGGGTTTGTGGTTAACTGTTTAATGTGTTAATGATGTTAGATACAACGGGCGTTTGTTTCAGAAACTCATTTGGTTTGTCGTCGTTTGGGGCTTGGGGGAGACGAAACTCTTTTGGACGTACGGGACAATTCGGGACGATTGGTGTTGGTATGTTCTCTGCGTGTGAGAGGCCGGAATGACTTGAACCTTTTTGCTGTCAAGAGTTTTTTTTTTTTTTTTTTGAGGAAATCGTGTTTGGCTGGTTTTGCGTCCATGGACCATGATGGCCTTGATCACTGGAAATAGTAGTAGTCAAGGCATAGATAGTTCAAGTAGATGAAAGAATCCAATCTCGTATGTTTGAGCTACTCATCGTTTCCCATCGTTCAAATCTGCCAAAGTATGATTTAGGAGACCCTTCACACATCACAGGAACTACTATAACATCGGCACAAGAGTATCACATCAAGAATATATTCTGTACATTAACGCCTCAAACTACCAAGATAAATCGAGGGGGGGAAAAGAAAAAGGGGCTTTCAAGCTCCCATCATCTAGTTATTGCCCCCCAGGGATGCACTTTGCATGTATCGTGAATCCTCGTATTCTAAGCGAGTGCATGCTGTAGCCATAAGCTGAAGTTAACAAAGGGGGGGTCCGTATGCATACAACACAGGGAAATCGACTGAAATGACAATGGTACAGGCTATGAGGGCGTGAGAGGAAAGGGGGAACGGAAGGGAAAGGAAAAAGAAGAAGAAAAAGAATAGCCCCCAGCTAAGCAGAAACCGCAGAAACCATCCGTCTCCCATGTACCATGCCTAGTTTCCCAAACGCCATGATTGAGTCGTTGAATATCGTTAAAAATAACATAGGTAAGTCTATATTTGAGGGAGCGAGAATTCTTTGACGCTGGAACACAATCGCTCAACGAGTGGCAGTGATTCGCCGCTGATAGAGGGAGAGGTCATATCCCATGTTGCTGTCTAAGCGCGTCACACCTTGCGGTGTATGACAGATGCATGATGCGTATCAAGTATATGCAGAGACTTTTAGATGCAAGTACCCCATCAGCTGGGACTGTATCATTGCTTTCAGCGCTTGTTAAGCAACACTGTTGATCCTGTCATGAGATCCGCATTGAAAGTCCACTTAGCTATTCGCTCATGATTAGTAAAGAATCATGAATCGAGGTAGCGCGGCCAGGCTTACCCTTTGCGAGATTCTCAGCAGTGTCTTCTAGTAGAATGACACGTCTCTTGTTGCAGTACGAGGTCTTGTCCATGATGTCGACCTTGAGCTTTGGGTCGGACAGCTCTTGGATAGGCTTCTCAAACATCTCAGACAAGTTCTCGACGGCCATCTCGAGATCCTTTTGGTTGTCCTCGAAAATCTCCGTCAAGTTGTTCTTAGCCAGATAGAAAGCAAAGGCATAAGTCCATTTGAGAGTCTGTCTGCAGGTCTGGAGCGCCTGAGATGCCGAGTTGAGATACTGCACTTCGATCCAGGACATGCCCGACGTCGTCTGAAGCTGCACCATCTTCTTTTCCGTCTTCTGTGCAATGTCCTTGTCGAGCTTTGCAGACTGCTCATGGTTGGCATATCTGTTGTAGTAGTGCAAGTAGCGCTCCAACGACGTGCGAGACTTGGTTTGCGCATCTCTGGCTTCGGCTCCGCTCTTTTCCTCATACCTGTTGCAGTTGTACCAGCTTGTGCCGTGCTCAGACCAGAGTCCCATGCACATCCAGCAAAACTCGTACTTGCACTTGCGACATGTCATGTGGTTGCATCCGCCGTTTTTCTCGATCGTCGAGCTACACTTGGGGCACTCCTTCGTGTGCGCCGAAATCCAATTCGCCGTCTCAGAGTCGTCGGCACACTTCTTGAGCCATCGCTTAACCAAATCGCAGGGTGCTGGTTGATGGTCTGGATTTGGGCATCCGAAGCAGAACCTGTAACCACAGAGACACTCCACAGTAGGGACAATCTTGTCCAGGTCCTTCTTCTTAACGCCGCACTCTATGGCGTTGGGGCAGTCTGGGGCCGGGCACCACTTGAACGTATCCTTGTCCTCCACGTATGTGCGGTTGAGCAGTTCATGGTAGCGATCAGTCAACTCTGGCGTGACTAGGAGGTCGAGCGACCGTGAGTCTAGAATACGACCGCAGCCATCCGACGGGCACTGGATCCTCGCAGACTCCCCTTCGTCTTGGATTTTCTGGGTAAGATAGTGGCGGTAACAGTCAACGCAGTAGCGGTGGCCACACTTCATAGCAAAGGTCTGAAGACCGTCTTCATCTTCGCAGCAGATGTCGCATGAAAAGCCGGGGAGGGCTTGCAACTTTGGCTGGGTAGAAGTGTTACTGTTCAGCCCGGCGGCCTCTAGAACCTTTTCTGGCTTGTCCATGTAGTCTTCCAATAGTCTCTCCTTGTTCCATCGAAAGTGGCGTAACATGATGGCCGCATCCTCCTTGCTCATATCGAGGATCATGTTGACGTCGTTCATCATGTCATCCTGTTGGCGCCTAATGTCGGAAGGCTCAAAGACCTTGAAGGACACCGCGTGAGCGGCCGCCTTCTTCTTGTCAAGATCTTTGGCGGAAAGGCCGAAATCGGGGTCAGGCTCGTCGAAGTCATCCTCGTCAAAATCTAGAGAAGCAACAGCACGGATTAGTCAGGCTGACAGGTGTTACCCGAGAGGGCCGGCAAAGGGAGGGCAAGATGGATGGCGTACCTTCAGCACCGGAGATTTCATCGCCGCTGTCGTCTGGCATCAGCTCATCGGAGCTTGACAGATACTCTTCCTCGGAATCCATCTCGCGGGTGGTGACGGGCGTGGGCGGTGCGGCGGCGAGACTGGCTGAGGCGACGATCTTCTTCGGGGGGGTGTCTTCAGAGTCGGTGGATGTGATCGTCGCCTCAGCAGCCTTTCGTTTTCTCGTTATGGGAGGAATCGTGCCGGTGGTTCCCCGGGATGCAGCAAAGCGTGCCCAAGTCGACGATGATGCGTCGGCAGAAGAACGGCAGCGGGAGTGCAGCACACCAAGAGGGGCGCTGATGACGGCGTTTCGTCGTTTCAATCTTCTCAGGTGCACGCAACGATGGGGGGGCGCTCAGAGGCTGGAGCAGACAAGACAGTAACTAGCGGGAGGGCAGCACGATGCTCATCCAGGGCGGGCGAGGCTTGGGGAAGAGCGAGGAGTGCAGGAGAAAGGGCGAATCAAGAAGAGAAAAGTCCAGACAAGTTGCTGCATACGCTTGTAAGTGATTCAGGCCATGCCATGACAAGGCGACGGGACAAGATGAAGAAAGTCGAGTTGGGCAGGCGAGGCGTGGACTAAGGCAACGGGGATTCTTCGGCAGTGCTGAGTCAGGCAGGCAGCTGAGCAGGCAGCGGTTGCAGCGGGCCATTGTCAGGTGGCCAACGACAGGCGGTAATTGATTGATCCATGGATCATTGATGTGATGAGATCAATCACTGCTTGCGTGCATTTGCTGGCGCCAGGCCCGAGTGGCGACATGCACAAGCAAGTAACCAGCAACTCCACAGCACTTAGTACTACTAAACTTGCGATCTAAATGTCTAAAGGTTCCAGTTACCAATGTTACTAATCAGTTTTCAGTACTTCTCAGTACGATTTCTGTAACAATCGAGTATCTGTACCGAAACAGAAGTTGCTGGATCCTTGTTAAAAAGGGTAGCCGTTCGTATACTTGCCAAACCACAAAGCGTCGAGTCCAAGCCTCAATCTCAATTACACTCCATGCACCGATATACCTACAAGGCCAAAATTGCATTTAATCTCTTCAACGTGCTCTTGGACTACGCAGCATATGCTCATTTTGCACTAGGCAGGACCTGGATACACGTTTTCATAGTAATCATGTTGATCTCAGTAACATCCTCTCATTCTAGATGCTACCCTAAAGGCTGGATGCCTAGGTATGGGGCATATAAAAGTGAGGAGCCATCACCAGGCAGCATCGCTTCACGAGTTTAGTAGTTTGTCCCTGGTATATAGTAACATAACAAACACATGCCGTCCTTCTGTATTGCCCGCTGTGGTGGACATCGCCTTGGCGCTGTTGGAGAGTTATTGCGGCCCAATTATTGATTCAGACAAAAGAGCAGCCTCCAATACTTCACCATCACACGACTCGCAATCATGCTCCATTAGAGAATTTTACATTCCACACATATTTGAATAATCAGATGCCAACTAAATCGGCCCAGGTCTCATCTGCTTTTGAAGAAAGCGACACTTTTACTAACAGTAGGTTTAAACATATGGACATGTAAGCACCATGTTGCTTGACGTCGCCAACACCGAAAGTGGTGGCCCAATACGCCATGCACTCATGATAAGGCTGACCTCTTTTCCTCCGTTCATCCCACTCTCTAGTTGAGAACCTGCTCGGCCATTGACACTATGATACCCAAAGAGTCAGCGTCTTCCTCAACTTGACCATGCTTAAAAAGAAGAAGAATACTCACCGGCGGTACCAGTGCTGTCGGGCTCGACAAAGGTCGCTGTGACCTTGCCGTCCTCCACCTTCAATGCATAACGCTTGCTTCGGACGCCTCCAAAAATGGCAGCGGCATCGTCAAATCCGAGCTCAAGGGCCTTTGTGAATTCAGCCGTGGGATCGGCGACGAACCGAATCTTTGCAATGTTGGTTAGTTGTTTGGAGGCGTGCCATGCATGACAAAATAACTCACTCCAGTCTCGCCAGCGGGATCCAGCTGGTCTTGCCAAGCCTTCATACTGTAGGATAACAATCAACATCTCCTGCCAGCTTCATCCCACGAGAACATCAATCGCTTACACAAAGGGGTCGTTGACGGCGACGACAAAGACCTGGCCAGCCTGCTTCAGCTTGGGGTGGTTGATGTACGACGGAATGTGCGTGCCGGAGCAGGTGCCGGTGAAGGCTCCGGGGACGCCAACAATGTATCCG